TTTAACCCCTTCCATAGTTTCTCCTATCATCTCTAATCTGGATCCCCGCAAAGCATGCGGACCCGATGGTATCCCTATAATTGTCATTAATAAGTGTGCTCCTGAACTGGCTCCTGTTCTCTCTAAACTGTATAATAAATGCCTCGCTGCCCCCTGCTTTTCTGTCTGTTGGAAGTCATCGTCTGTTGTTCCAGTTTTTAAGAACTCTGGTGAGCCGTCCGACCCATTTAACTACTAACCTATTAGCCTTCTACCTCCTTTTGGGAAACACCTAGAGGTCCGGAATTGGTTCAGCATCTCTCATTAAAGTGCTTTTTCTCAGACAAGCAATACGGCTTTCGTTTTTCCATGTCAACTGCTGATGTACTAACGATAATTGCGGAAAGAGTCTTTCATGTTCCAGATAAATAACGGTGAAGGCCGGGCTGTAATATTGGACATATCGAAAGCCTTTGACCGGGTTTGGAATCCAGGTCTTCTTTTCCAAGCTGAAAAGTTACGATATCTCCGGACACATTTTTGAACTGATTCAGTCGTTCCTATCAAATCGTGAAATGAAAGTTTTCCTCAACGGCCTCTCATCTACATCCTTTCGTACTAACGTGGGTGTCCCCCAGGGCTCCATCGTTGGTCCTAAGCTGTTTTTAATCTTCATTAACGACCTTCCCGATGATATCAGCTCTCAAATTGGCATCTACGATGACGATATTTTACAACTATAATCCAAGTACAAAATTACTATCCATTTAAATGGCTGACATAAAAAATGTAACTCATAAATTATGGCGTAATATTTGATGTTTAAAATAACAGAAAATTCTATTTTTCCGACATCATGAGAAGAGTCCAATATATTATATATGTTTAAGCATTGATCGTCCTTGGTATGACGATAAGCTACAACCAAGTCCTGGGTAAGACGATAAACTACATCCGACAGCAACGGCTTTGAGGAGCATGGAATCACCTCTTAATTGCTGATGTTCCCAGGTCCACTTGGACCCGATTCAGGATTCTAACTGTGAGCAAAGAGTTACCCTCCCCACCCCCAACAGAAGTGTTCAAAAACACTATGAAAGTATAAAAATAGGTTTTAATATTAATTATTAAATTTGGGGGAAAATTATTACCAGTAGTTCATTTTTTTCTAAATATATTACCAGAGAAAAAAAATTATTACCAGCAGTCCATTTTTATTACCAGCAATATATTTTTGGAGAAAAAAATTATTACCAGCAATAAAAATCTTTTCGGAATTAAATAACTCATTGAGGCTGATATGCCTTGAAACAAAACCATCTATGCATTTGGTAACGTAAGAGAAGGCCACACACACACAAGGGATAGAAAATTTTGGGGATTTGAATAATCATCTATAGTAATTCAACGAGTCTAGAAGAATCCTCAACAGAATGCACTGGACAGCCGTTTCGTCCTATTTGGGGCTCATCAGCAGTGCGCCGATTCTTCCGAGAAACGAACGCGGGCCGTTACAATACAACGAAAGCGTCATACCACTAGACCAACGAGTCACAGTGACGAAGAAGGAAATGACTAGACTTGATATAACACCGCTAGTCACTAAATTCTATGGTGATACTCATCCAAGTATACGTAACCCAACGGATTGTGCCCCAAAAACCACGTCTTCTTTTCACAGACCGTTCTCTTCAGAGCATTAGAATCTGGATCAAGCAAGGATATATATAGAAGTAATATATGTGAAAAGTGTGTGTATATAAATATAAATAAATAAATAAATATATATATATATATACATATAATTATTTATATATTATATGTGCGGTACTTATTAGAAAGCACTCAATATCAGAGATAGAGCTAACATATTTGGTTGGATTGATGTGAGTTTGTGACCATGGGTTTCACGCTTTTGCGAGCGTCAGACAAACGACGATCGCAAAAGCGTGAAACCCAAGGTTACAAACTCACATCAATCCAAGCAAATATATACAAGTAATAGAAATTTTGGGGAATCTGAATCATTATTTATAGTAATTCATCAAGTTTAGAAGAATCCTCAACAGAATGCAGAAAGCAGTGGACGGCTGTTCATATATATATAATTATATATATTGATTGATTCGTTTTCTACGGTTTATTAACCGTTTTGCAGATTATTTATATCCAGAAAATATTTTCAGATTGTAAGAATTTGTGGGTGGTAGATAATAATTGTTTAGTGATATAAGTATTAATAATTGTTTAGTGATATAAGTATTAACAATTGACCTCTAGCTGTGGTGGGGGGGGAAAGATGTGGATTCATAACTTTCCCAAGGATTGTTGCGTGTAAGTAAAGATAACAAATTCAACGCGAATTGGAACTCGGCTCTCCGATTAACAATTTATATATATATATATATATATATATATATATATATATATATATATATATATATATATATATATATATATAAATCATCATAATGATCTTCAAATATATCATTAATTTTATCTGCCCAATTTTCCTAAATCTTAGCCAACCAAACTAGTTACTGGCTTTAAGGAAGATCGTTTCTATCGAACCCACCTCATGATGTTGTTCGCCTCGTTGAGTTTGCTTCTCTTTGCGAAATTCGACCCCACAAGGAATTATGGGGGGATATTGATAAAAACGTGGGTTTCTTCTTGACAGTTAAATCTCTTTTCTCGATAATCAAAAATGTTCTCGTGACAGACTTGCTAAAAAAATATATCGTTTTCAGACGATCAAATCAGAAAAGAATGCGGACAATTTAGCAAAGAAAAACTTTAAAACTATCGACATCATGAGCAATAAATTTCTGCATAGCCGCCATCATTGGAGCACACGAATGAATATGTGAAAGACATTCTATCTGATGTGTTCCTTCAGAACATGGTCGGCCATGGCTCTCCACAATTTCCTGACCTTTGTAGCTCTTGAAATTTTTTCTTTTTGATCTCTCCTCTAATCTCTCTTCTCCCAAACATTTACACGATTTTTCATTTTCTTCTTCTTCTTCTTCTTCTTCTTCTTCTTCTTCCTCCTCCTCCTTCTTCCTCCTTCTCCTTCTTCTTACTCCTTTTCTTCTTCTTCTTTTATTCTTCTTCTTCTTCTTCAGGACGTGGGCAATCATGGCCCTCTACGATTTCCTGTCCTTTGTAGCTCTAAGTAAATTTTCTCTTCGATCTCTCTCTCTCTCTCTCTCTCTCTCTCTCTCTCTCTCTCTCTCTCTCCTAAACCCTGTTCTGCTAATCATTTAGACAATCTCGTTAGGAAGCTTGCTCTCCTCTGTCTCTCTTTCCTTCAATCTGTCTTGTGAGCGTCAAATTCTTCGGGCCTTCTTTTCTCATAATATGCCCTAGGAATTTCAATTCTTTCTGACAAACATAAGTGTTCTTATTTCCACGTTGTCTAAAACTTCGTCGTTGTTCATATATTCAGTTCATGGCATCCTCATCATCCTTCTGTAGAACCACATTCATGTTGCTTCACGTTCCTTCTTCATCTGTGACGAAATTATCCATCATTTACTGCTATAGACGAAGACCGATTTTGCATAACTATTCAGTACGCTTTTCCTGTTTATTAATACTTTATTTAGCTTTTGGAAGGCATCTTTCGCTCTCCCAATGCGCCTTCGGATTCCAGCATCGCACTTTCCGTCCTCTGTTAAAACTCTTCTTACATACTTAAATGTTTGTACTTGCTTGATTTTGGCATCTCCAATTTGTAATTCGCATCTTGGGGGCTTTTTCTTTTGCTCACAACCACCCGTTCTGTCTTCTTACAACTGACACTTAGTCCTTTCTTCTCGCTTTCCTTTACTACCTTCTCTATTTTTCTTTCTAAACGTCATTATGAACCGATCCAAATAAGAAAAATTGCATTCACTCAATATTCCATCTGGGCGTGGTTTTCCTACTTTGAAAAACAGCATTAAAATTCCTGGCAATCGCTTGTGCTCGAACATTGACGTGTTTTTTTGTTGTTTTTTTTTTAATCATTCACTTACAAGGCCCAAGAAGCACTCAAGATAGATGGTTACTGAATGAGATTTTTGTATGAACGGAAGAGAGGGAAGTAAGAAGTGCATATTATGAGGATATGTAGGATAGATAGCGGTTGACAGTAGAGGTTAAGATTTTAGTGATCATGGAAGCATAATCTCGGGAATCTGTTACACAAACTAGCGGTATTTGAGGAAGAAGCTGCCCGAATGAAACTTCTTCCTTACTAATGGAATACGTCCCATTGTACGTAGCATGACTGTTCTTAGTTGTAAAATTTTTAACAGGGGGAAGCGTCAGAACATTTGTTATGGAAACAGAGGTAGAGTAGAGAGAAGCTGGTAACATTTCGTCTGCGGGTTTCTAGAGGATAAAATAATTCTTCGCACACAAAGTCGCGTACACGATTTTTGAATTCTGTCAAGACTGGAAAATGAGAATTGGGCAACTTCATCCAAGCTATGGCAGCTGTTCTCCATATTTTCTATCTTGTAAAGATAGAGCATAGCAGAATGAATTCGGTGCCTCCTAGTGTGGTACAAGGAGCCGCCCATTTTACTGGGATCGTTAGCAATGGATCATGTATATATTCCATTTGAAGTCTGGAGTGAGGTTGAGTCCCAAAAGACGTTCAAAACAAAGAGACTCCATCAGAGATCAACCGTTCATATAAGTGAAATTTCCCGGTCTGATCGGGGATAGCAACACGTACTGATAGCAAATATTGATTAATTCATTCATATTTTTTTTTTCTACGGTTTATCAACCCTTTGCAGAATTTTTTTATCATCGTTGTTTTTGTTTAATTTTTGGAGATAATAATGATTTAGTGATACAAGTCTTACTAGTTAACCCCTAGCTGGGGGGAAAAAGAAGTGAATTCATACGGGTTCGAAGGCTATTTGTAAGCGGAAGTGAATATAATGAACCTACCGGGACTTGGAACTCAGCTCTTCGATTAACAATTCTGTGCCATTATCCATTACATCGCCCGGATATCCAAGCTTACAGCTTCTAGTATTCCCAAGCGGTCACCCATCTAGGTGCTGACCAAGTTCATCTTTGCTTAACTTCGGTGATCGTACGGAAATCTGTATTTCTATATGATATGTCCGTAAGCCCTGAAGCAAATAGGAAACGATGTTCCATGCCAAACAAGCTCACATATCAGTTAATAACATCACACTCTACTCCGGTCTTTTGAACTGGAGTAAAGGTTTATCCATTGCTTCCTGTTTAGTATCGGGTTTCTGGTTCCTTCTAAAGTCTTTTTTTCGTACTCGTTCACTCCCAGTTGAACTTTGTGTCTTATTAGCATTATCGCCTTGCTTGGGGCGAATTGGAATGTTAAAATGCTTAAATAACAGTACTAGAGCTGCTTAATCATCATTTTTAAAGCTTGATAGTGTCAAAAATCATTTACCTGGTCTTGTGGGGATGATTTATTTTCTGCTATGCTATTAATGTATTTGTAACCGCAAAAAGGGGCCAATATTTGCTATGCTAAAAGTTAGTACAACCGCTGATGCGAGAAAAACAAATTTTTTAATCAAATTTTCAAATATTCTAAAAAGAGCAAAAAATTTAATTAAATACTCAAAAAAAAAAGGATCCTTCCTCTTAATAATAACATAATGATTTTGACAATAAAGCTATGTTTTCATTACGTTTGGAGCATGTCTTCATCACGGTATGCTGATTTTTTTTTTTTATCATTTTCGTGGAGGTACCTATTCTAGTGTTGTATATTTGTATTGCACCTTTATATATATGTTTGTATGTGTGGGCGTGTGATCTAACGTCTGTGGTGGGGATGTCAATCTAACAATAGATGTGTGATTTTAAGTGGTCAAATGATCATCACCTGTCCAGAGGTGAGAACGAGTAATTAAAATAAGATAAGTTATGACCCAAAAGCGTGACTGATGTTCAAATGGTTATAAATAAGTTTGCGCGTTTAATGAGGAGCCTTAAGTGATAATTAAGTTTATATAATTGCATCGTGTTATACTCAACGCAGACGCTGGCCAAATAGAAAAGACGTGGCAATGACTGAAGGAAAATAAATGTGATGAAAATGATGAAGACAGTTAATATTCCAGCAGGTGTCGACATTTAAGCTGGATACCGGCGATGATGATTGTTTTAACGTCGTGCTGGTATCTGCTGTTACTGATGATGTTGATGATGATGATTCCATCAAAACCTAATCGGTTGGTTTTGCTGAATTCGCGGATGAAATAAATATCAAGGGAAATTAATAGAGAAAAGAGAGAATTTGTTTTTTTACAATGACGTTCACTCTGAGCAAGAAGGTACAAGAGCCACCCAAGGTAGAGGGTTACAAAGTAAGAGTCTCAGTTTATGGGGATATGTGGGGAAAAGAAAATTTTAATTGCTATTATAAATAATATATACTAAAGACAATATTGTCTGTAGAAAAAAATTCGACAAAAAATGAATTTTTACAAGATTTGTTTTCAATTTTTGCAATTTTAAATTGAATAATTTATAAAATTTTAAAATCTTTTAAAATTCATTTTCCATGTGATAATCCTAGACTTGAACAAGTTAAAATTGTAGTAATCGAGGAAGTATCTACTTGGCAGTCGACTCCACAAAGCAGTGGTTATTTGGAAGAATCTGTTCTATTGGAATACAAAGGGAATGAAAATGTTTCGCTACAATGAACATGGCATGGAGAATTTTAACCGTGAAGGCTAGAAGTAGCGGAACTAAGAAATGTTCGTCTAAACATTTTCCATGGCAATAGCGATAGAGCAACGAGAAGCTTTCGACGTTTCGTCTGTAAGAAAGGAGTTGCAGGGTGAAAAATAATTCATCACCCACAAGGACACGGGAACGCTTTTGGACTCAATCGAGACTGTAAAGTGAAGATATGGAAGCAGGACCATTGTCAGCCTGATCTGGTTCTTGTAAAGGTAGAGGAGTAGTCAAATACTTACTGGAACAGTACAGGAAACTGACCATGTTTCCAGCATCTTTAGCGATGAAACGTATGTACGAGTTTCACGAGGTTTAGGTTGAGCTTAAGTCCCAAGAAGCGCTCAAGGTCCTTGAGAGAACACCCGTTCATGGCGATAGGCAAAAATTCAGGGTCCGTCCAGTAATGATAATTAAAGAAGGAATATAGAAAAGATTAACTAATTAAAAATAGAAAAGTAAAGTTTCAATGACAGGTTGGTTGGTTGATTTTGCTTAGCGGGATATCAACACCTCTGTGGGTTATTTAATGCCGGAATCTAAATATTTTTAACACAATTTTTCTTAGTTTTGTAAATTTTCTTCTTCTTCTTCTTCTTCTTCTTATTATTATTATTATTATTATTATTATTATTATTCGTTTTTAAAACTTCCTCATATCTTTATTTTTGCGAAATATGGCCACCTAGCGGAACATGGAACACCTAATGCGGATCAAATTTACTAGACTAGCAAATGACCAGTGAGCCTATTTTTTATTTTTGCTGTATGGAAGACGCACCCACTTTTTTATTTTTTATCTTGCACGGAATTTCACTGTATTTTTTTTTTCTTTCAACTTCTTTTCTTCTTTACTGTCGGCCTTTTCTTCATTACTTCTCAAAATGATTACATCTAATTTTCTTCTTTCTTTTCTACACTCCTCTCTCTGTGTATTCACCTTCTTATGCTTTTTATTTTCTTCTCCAATTGATTTCTTCTAGTATTCTCTCTTCTTGTATCTTTTTTCTTCTTTTTATCCTTACTCGCCTTTTCTTCTAACTTTTCTTTTCTTCTTTTTCTTCATCTTCTCCATACTTTTCTTTTATTTTTACTCTCCTTTTCTTCTTCTTTTTCCTCTTCTTCTTACTTTCCTTTTCCTCTTCTTCTCCTCACTCTCTTTTTTCTTCTTTACTCTTCTTTTTTCTCATCCTTACTCTCCTTTTCTTCTTCTTCTTCTTCTTCTTCTTCTTCTTCTTCTTCTTCTTCTTTCTACTTCATCTTCTTAATTTCTTTTTCTTCTTCTTCTTACTCTCCTTTTCTTCTTTTCTTCTCATTATTATTCACTTCTTCCTCTTTATTCCTATAAACTATGTATTCTCCTTCTTCCTCTTTATAACCGCCCTCCTTATTCTCCTGTTTCTTTTCTCCATCATCAAAAGTTATTTACCAACATAAAAAATAACTACTGTTTATTTACACTCACTTCTTAGAATTCAGTTTGTCAAATCAATGTTTCTCTAAATCCTTGAATGACAAGACAAGCCATCATTGTAAAAAAAAAAAAAAAGAAACGTTTAGCTGATTCGATTGATATCCGTTATGAATCATGTACTTTTGCAACCAAAATATAGCTGAAAAAGTGCATTTAAATCGGCAAACGATTTACCTCCATCATTTGTGTCGATCTATGCGCATGCGTGCACATAATCTTTATTTATCCTTCAGTCAAGGCATTTACTAAGTTTAGCGAAGTTTTCCACAAGGCCACAGAGCGCCTGAATTTATTCGAAAGAGCTTGCGAAACTAACTTTGAATCATCGTTATATAGCAAGCGCTCGCATATGTTTTTACTAAGTTTAGCCTAGCCTGACACAAGGCTACTAATTTGAATATCTAGTGAAAATTAATGAATAAATTTAGTACAATTTTCGCCCATTACAAGACCTAAGAGTCACTCCAGGTAGAAGATTACTGAATGAGGTTGTTGTATGGACGTAAGCAAGTACCAGTTATGAGGATATGTAAATTACCCACATAGACATGTACTACTACATGAACTCAAGTTTAGGGTCATCCGTTATCTAAACGGATGACCCTAAACTTGAGTTCATGTAGTAGTACATGTCTATGTGGGTAATTTAAACTGACGTGTATACGATTTCTTAAAGAGTATAGTATATATGTTTCTAACGAAATTTTCCTATCTATTAAAGTATTATGACATTGGAAAATTTTTATAGAAACAAAGAAAAGATTGTTATATATAGCAGTGAATGCTGGACAATTTTCTCACAGATGAAGAGACTTGAAGTGACAGATGCTAAGAATACCATGGACTGATTATGGAAGCAACGAAGAAGTTTTAAAAGAAAATACGAATTAAATGTACACTCAAAATCACAAAGAAACAATTGAAATTTTTGAGACACATAATGAGGAAAAAAGGTCTAGAAAATGTAACACTCAGAGGACATAGTGAAGGCAAGGGAAGCAGGTGGAGATAAGGAATAACCAACCAAATGTTTGTAGGAACAAATAGTAGAACAAAGGTTGATGGTAAAGAGTAAAAAAAAAAAAGACGAGAAGAGGTATGATTGCCCGTGTTCCAAGGCGACACCGGCACATAAAAGTAGAAGAATATATGTGGGCCTATTCTTTTTGCAGCAAATCCTCTCTTTCCATTTTCAACTTTCTTCTGCGTTTGGCCATCATTCAGCCAATTCATATATATACCCAGCTTAACCCCATCTTAATTTATATCTATTATCCCCTGACGGATGGAACCATTGCTGGTGGGGGGTGGGTCTACGAAATACTATATTTAGGATTAACATCAATCAGCTAAGTGACAAATTTTATATTTGTATATATATATATATATATATATATATATATGAATGAAGAAATATAGTTTTTGTGTGCTATATTTATGGCATAAAGTGCTCAATATCAGAGATAGAGCGTATGTAAATATACATATAAAAGTGATCACTAAAGTCGCCTCTCAGTGTTTACTTCAATGTTGACTTATATATATATATATATATATATATATATATATATATATAGAGAGAGAGAGAGAGAGAGAGAGAGAACGGTGCATACTAGCCCTCGACCGGGGTAAGCCTGATTGAAAACCCCGGGTAGTGCTTTGTGAACCTCGCTATTGTATCAATATTCCTACTTAGTTTTATATACGTTACAAATTAAGCAGAACTGACTATTAAAAGGATGAAAAATTTTCGTTAATTTTGACGTCATTCTGGGGATTTTTTTTTTTTTTTTTTGCTCCTGCTAAGTCTCGAAAAACACTATATAAAATTCACTATACTTTTGTCCATAATGTTGAAGATTTTAAGATTATTCAATTTTGTATCAAGAAAAATCTCAAGTTTATGTTAAAAACTGCGGCAAAACATGCTTGATTTATTTAAGATGGAATGATCTATTAGGAAATCTAACTAATTTTTATTTCGATTGTCTGTATTTATTTTCAATTTTTCTACTGTGATTGTTCGCCTATATTGCACATGATCCATTACTGTATATAATTAGGTCACAATAACATTTAATATAAATTAAATTATTATATGAATACTACCTTATGGCAAATGATATGTAGTAGAGTTCGGGCCCCATATCATATATTGGTTGGAGGCCACAAAACACTTGCACTGGCTACCTGCATATATATATATATATATATATATATATGTGTGTGTGTGTGTGTGTGTGTGTGTGTGTGTGTGCAGTACGTTATTTTTATAGATACAAATATTTAAGATATATTTATGATCTGTTTATAATAAACAGTATTAACAACATTTAGCGGCCTGAATGTCCTAGAAATTTCATAGAAAATATGTGTAGGAATCGAACTTGTATCCTACACGGAAGCGTCATATTGCCTGACGTGTTATACCATTTAGCTACAGAGGAAGCGTCTCGTTAGCAAGGTCGAATTGCTGTTTTTAAACTACGAATTTCCCATGATTTCTTTTGAACGCTCATATCTGCTTGAAGCGTATCTTAACGTAAACAAATGACATAATATATTATGAAATGGACTAAGTCCGACACTTATTTTAATGTATTTTCTGTTTATACGTTATTTTTATGGATACAAATATCTAAAAAAAATGCTCTGTTTGCAATAAACCATATTAACTACATTTAACAGCCTACGTATTGATTATTTTATACGCTTCATATGAATGCAAATTTTCACACCACTGATATGTTTGCTTTTTCGAATCAGTAATAATCTTTTATGACAAATTTAATTTCGTTTTCTCTGCATTAAAATTGGCTGGATGCTGAAAAGTTTAAAAATTAGTTGGTTGCTTGCTTTTCTTTAGCAGCATATTAACCGCTATGAGTTATTTAATGCCGAAATCTAAATATTTTATCAGCATTTTATTTTATTTTATTTTATTGAGATAATAATGGTTTTAATGATAGAAGTCTTACTAATTAACCCATAGCTGGGGTGATAAGAGATGGATTCCTATCTTTCCCAAGAGTATTTGCGTATAACTAAATATAACGAACTCAACCCTAATTGGAACTAGACTCTCCGATTATCAATTCTGAGCCGTTATCTATTACACCAGCCGCGCATCCAAGCTTACAACACCAGGTATTCCCAAGAGGTCACCCATCCAGGCTCGATATCGGTTAACTTTGGCGATCATACGGGAACCAATTTTTGAACGGGATTTGGCTGTAAGCTTTGAATGTTCCCTTTTTCACGTTAAAGATATTTTCGTCAATCATTTTATATAAATATTTTTATATTACTTACCCGAGAGAGAGGGGGAGGAAGAGAGAGAAATAGAAAAGGAGGGGAAAAAAGATATGAGGAGAGAGACACGAGCAGGTCCTGAAGAGTTCACTTCCAAAAATCAGTATTTCAATGACTAAACATTCGAATATTTCCGGGCAGTTTAAACAATCATTTGGAACGATGTGCTAAATACGTTGAACTGCGAGGTGAATATGCAAAATAGTATATACATTTCATGACTCAGTCATTCTTCTTGGTATAATCGAGAATTTTCAGCACTCCCTATTAGATAGATAGATAGATAGATAGATAGATAGATAGATAGATAGATAGATAGATAGAACTAAAATTTAATCCATTTTTCAGTGAATTCATTTCGATCCTTAATGGGGGTCTCACTAGTGTAGCCCCACAGATAATTAAGCATCGCAAATATTCATGGAGAATTATCATGATGTTGGCTAATAAACTAGTCACCAATGTGATCATGCACTGTACCATGTTCAGCCTTAGATAGATAGATAGATAGATAGATAGATAGATAGATAGATAGATAGATAGATAGATAGACAGAGATGAAATAGATATGAACAGATTGAGAATAGGTAGATATGAACAGAGTGGATGGATGGATGAAAAGATAGATAGATAGATAGATAGATAGATAGATAGATAGATAGATAGGGACAGATGGATAGATAGATAGATAGATAGATAGATAGATAGATAGATAGATAGATATGATAGATAGATAGATAGGGACAGAGTGAGATAGATATGGATAGATAGATAGATAGATAGATAGATAGATAGATAGATAGATAGGGACAGAGAAAAAGATGAGATAGATAGATAGATAGATAGATATAGATAGATAGATAGATAGATAGATAGATAGGGATATGGATGAGATAGATAGATAGATAGATAGATAGATAGATAGATAGATAGATAGATAGATAGGGACAGATGGATAGATAGATAGATAGATAGATAGATAGATAGATAGATAGATAGATGAATAGGACAGATAGATGATAGATAGATAGATAGATAGATAGATAGATAGATAGATAGATAGATAGATAGATAGATAGGAACAGAGTGAAATAGATATGAACAGATTGAGAATAGGTAGATATGAACAGAGTGAAAAAGATAGATAGATAGATATAGATAGATAGATAGATAGATAGATAGATAGAATAGATAGATAGAATAGGAATGGAGAGTGAAATAGATAGATGAACAGATTGAGAATAGGTAGAGATATGAACAGAGTGAAATAGAGATAGATAGATAGATAGATAGATAGATAGATAGATAGATAGATAGATAGAAATAGATAGGAACAGATTGAGATAGATAGATAGATAGATAGATAGATAGATAGATAGATAGATAGATAGATAGATAGATAGATAGGAACAGAGTGAAATAGATATGAACAGATTGAGAATAGGTAGATATGAACAGAGTGAAAAAGATAGATAGATAGATAGATAGATAGATAGATAGATAGATAGATAGATAGATAGGAACAGAGTGAAATAGATATGAACAGATTGAGAATAGGTAGATATGAACAGAGTGAAATAGATATGAACAGAGAATGGAGGTAGAGATAGATAGATAGATAGATAGATAGATAGATAGATAGATAGATAGATAGATAGGACAGAGTGAGATATAGATGGGAACAGATAGATAGATAGATAGATAGATAGATAGATAGATAGATAGATAGATATAGATAGATAGATGAAATAGATACAGATTGAAATGGTAGATATGGAACAGAGTAGATATGAACAGATTGAGAATAGGATAGATATGAAATGAGTTGAGAAAAGATAGATAGATAGATAGATAGATAGATAGATAGATAGATAGATAGATAGATAGATAAAAGATGGAAATAGAGTGAAATAGATATGAACAGATTGAGAATAGGTAGATATGATAGATAGATAGATAGATGGGAGATAGATAGATGGATAGGATAGATAGATAGATAGATAGATAGATAGATAGATAGATAGATAGATAGATAGGGATAGATAGATAGATAGATGATAGATAGATAGATAGATAGATAGATAGATAGATAGATAGATAGATAGATACTTCAGTGCAACTCTCTATGTCTTGTAGGTTTTAGTAATGTTTGTCTTCTTTCCATCTCTTCCACCCACGTTCCGCCACCCTTTCACACAATCTTGTCTGGTAAGTTGTCTCTTAACTTCTTTTTTGCCTTCGATTTGTCGTGTGAGTGTCAAATTCTACAATTCCTCCTTCTTCATTATGCACCCAATAAATTTTCACTTGTATCCTGATTTGGGGGCTATAAATGATTTTTTTATTTCATTTTTTTCTTAAGACTTCTTCGTTGAATCCTTCTGTAGAACCATATTGCCTCCAGTTTTCTCTTCATCTGCGAGTAGATTGTCCAGCATTCAATGCTCTATAGGAGGATTAACATTCCATAGCAGTTCAACACATTTTTTTCCTTATTTCTAATGAAATTTTCTTTTTTCTAATTCCTTGCTTAACTTTTGGAAGGCATCTTTTTGCTATTCAGATGGATTTCAATGTTGAGTTTTCCATCCTATGTTAAAACACTTCCCAGATATTTAAATTTCTCTACTTGTTTAATTTTGACATCTCCAATTCGTAAGCCGCATCTTGGGCTTATGCTCTTGTTGACAATGTACATTATGTTCGTGACTGAAAAAGACACAGGACGAGAAAAATAATTTTGCTTTTGCCTCAATATACAATCTACAAAGCTTCTTAACAAAGCAAATGAACTCGTAAAAACTTTTTCCCCTCTTGACTTTTGATGGAAACGTCAGAACTCCATATGAGTACCATCTTATCGGATCATGGCTATATATAAGCTACAAGTGACTTCCTGAATCGTTGCTAGGTAAAATAAAATACCATATACCGTGTGTATGATTATTTCTTACCATAATATCATTCATTTATTAAATTTTATTCCGTGGTGCACGAAGATGTCTTTCCTTGCGTGCGCCTTGGAGAAGCCACTTATGTTGAAAACTAGAGGGAATCTTTTTTTAACCTTCTTATTGAATACGCTCCTAGCAACAAGATTATGAAAGGGATAACGTTTGAACCAGTCAAGAAAGTATTGAAACCATTAGAAGAATGAAAAGTAAATGTGAGAATGGGCCAAGATAGAGAGATGTAAGAAAGAAAGAAAGAAAGAAATAGAAAGATAGATTAATGAAAAGAAAGAAAGAGACGAAAAGAAAGAAAGAAAGAAAGAAAGAAAAAGATAAAATGAAAAACGAAAACAGGCAAAACAAAAATTAAAAGGAAAATGAAGAAAAAACCATGAAAGAAATTTTTTTATGTTAGAAAGAAAGAAAGAAAGAATAATGAAAGGAAATAAGAAGGCAACGAAAGAAAGAAAAAAGAAAGAAAGAAAGAAATAAGAAGGCAAAGAAAGAAAGAAAGAAAGAAAGAATAATGAAAGGAAATAAGAAGGCAACGAAAGAAAGAAAAAAGAAAGAAAGAAAGAAAGAATAATGAAAAGAAATAAGAAGGCAAAGAAAGAAAGAAAGAAAGAAAGAAAGAAAGAAAGAAAGAAAGAAAGAATAATGAAAAGAAATAAGAAGGCAAAGAAAGAAAGAAAAAAAGAAAGAATAATGAAAAAAATAAGAAGGCAAAGAAAGAAAGAAAGAATAATGAAAGAAAATAAGAAGGCAACGAAAGAAAGAAAAAAGAAAAAAAGAAAGAAAGAATAATGAAAAGAAATAAGAAGGCAAAGAAAGAAAGAAAGAAAGAAAGAATAATGAAAAGAAATAAGAAGGCAAAGAAAGAAAGAAAAAAAGAAAGAATAATGAAAAAAAATAAGAAGGCAAAGAAAGAAAGAAAGAATAATGAAAGAAAATAAGAAGGCAAAGAAAGAAAGAAAAAAGAAAGAAAGAATAATGAAAGAAAATAAGAAGGCAAAGAAAGAAAGAAAAAAGAAAGAAAGAATAATGAAAGAAAATAAGAAGGCAAAGAAAGAAAGAAAAAAGAAAGAAAGAATAATGAAAGAAAATAAGAAGGCAAAGAAAGAAAGAAAGAAAGAAAGAATAATGAAAGGAAATAAGAGAAAGAAGGAAAAAAAGATAAAATGATGAAAGGAAATAAAGAAGATAAAGAAAGAAAGACGATGAATGGAAAGAAGAAAACAAAGAAATAAAGACAGACAGAAAGATCCAAATTAAAAAATAGATTAAGAAAAAGGAACAGTAAATGAAGAAAGAAAGCAAATATTTCATGTTAGAAAGAAAGAAAGAAAAAAAGAATGAAGGAAAGATAAAATGATGAAAGGAAATAAAGAAGACAAATAAAACAAAAAAGAAAAGAAAGACAAACATAAAAAGAAAAAATTCAATAAAAAGAAAAAGAAAAGAACGAATAGAAATATTTCGAGAAGAAAATATTAAAAATAATAAGATAGGAAACGATGAAAGGAAAACACTGATCAAATAAGTGAAAATATATTGAAAGGAAACCTGAATAAGACAAGCGATAAGAACTAAAAGAAGGTTTGGGTGGGAGAAGGTAATCGCCCAGCATCTTATTTTGTTCGATGTTCGAGTTTATACCTAACTGGGTCAAATACACAGAACATTAATGCAAAGAACGTAGCCATGACAGAAACTCTTTTTTGCTTGTCACTTGTTATTAGCGTTTTCATAACAAAAAATTGTTCATTGCATGATTTTAAAAAAATCATTTTAAAGTGAAATTGTGTATATCTCTCCAAAGTTAACAGTGTCTAATCTGCTTCAAAATCTGTGACATAATCTGGAAATATTCTATCACTTTTCCAAAATCTATCAGGAAAATTCTGCATCTCCCAAAATTTGATTTATCGATCGCTCGAAAGGAAGTGATCATTTCTCTAGATGATGGTAAGCGGGAAACATACATTTAGTATAAAACTGTAATTATCGAATGCTTATTCTTGGACAAAATCCAACTAAGTGTGGAATTACGCAGACTTAAAGAACGAAAGTAACTCCGAGAAACATGCTTGTAACAAATGTGTTTAACTAATGGGATTGATTTTATCTTTTATTTAGATGAATTTTTATACATATTTTTACATATTATTGACTTAGAGTAATTTACTAAGTATAGCTTTCTTTGGGCACAAGGTCACTAGTATACGGCAAGCAGTGAAGTTCGACTTCACAACTCAGTAATAATTATGTGCTAGATTAACTTGCTAACCCTTTCAATAGGGCGTGATTACTAAAAAATATTTTGGGAGTTTATTTCATTCTTGGCGCGTTAAAATTAATAAAATAACGCGTATAGAAAACATAATCTTCTGTGATAAAAACATGGAATGGCTTGTGCAGCGCGCGTTGCTAAGAATGAGTCCAGTCTATCATTTCCTTTCTCTTTGCCTGTCCTATCTGAAAAAGGAAACTCTCTTTTCTCAAAAAATGGACACCTAGTCGAGTTTCACCAAGACATGTCGCTAATAAATATATGTCCCAAATTATGCTAACCGGATGAACATATATCTAAGCCCTACCCCCCTCTCTCTCTCTCTCTCTCTCTATATATATATATATATATATATATATAAGGGGGAGAGAAAAGGTATAGAACCAATAAGGAGAGAGCATGAAAAGATAAGAAAACCACGAAAAGGAGAAATAACCACGACATTCTACACGTACGCACATACGCGCATGCGCACGGGAAGGCACATGCAGACTTCCAAACACACACGCACACACAATGAAAGAAGAAGAAAAAAATCAGCCTTTTATCAATGAAAAGTGCATAAATTATTTTTAACTCAATATAAAAGTGACGAAAAACGAGAAAATAAGCAGTCACCTGCTGATATCTCCTGACGGTTGGTGGGAGCGATTGCCGGAGGGTCCGTCAACGAAAGTCGAAACGCTGAAAATAATATCAATCAGCTAAGTTTCAATTGTTCTATTTGTATTAATCCTATATATGCAGTGTTTATCAAAAATACTTTTACAAAAATTGGGGGTGGGTTCCTCACACCAAAACAAGATACAATGTCCATATAAAAAATATGTCCAAAGTGTATACAGCAACTCATAACAAATGTTCAAAATGCCCCCCGCTTGATTCTATACACGCATGCACCCGTTGGATTATTGACTGGCAGACCCTTTCAAATACTCCCACAAGGTGTCGGGAGTTTGTGTCATAAAACATCGGCAAAAGTTCCCTGTGGTAAGTGATCAGGGGGCGAAAATCCCTGCACTTGTTGCGGATGATACAGGTACAGGAGCTGCTCTTGGAGTATCCTCCATGTGGTACAATGAGATGTACGACATGCTAGTGGCACTTGACGTGTACTGATACCTGGATCACCTCCGACATCTTGTAGAATGTGTTCTTCGTGGTCAGGCGTACGAGCGGGTCCTGGTCTTCCTCGATCCATAATTTGTAGTGTCACGGATCCTGTCTCAGCAACGTGACGAGCAAAAATTGGATGACTCGGTCTGGAAACGCAATTTGATACAGCCGTGCAGACTCGCGTCCATTGCTACTTGCGCGGACGTATGTAAAAATCATATCTGCCTGCTGACGATATGAATATCTTGCCATTGTTAAACTGGACATTTCTCAGTTAAGTCACTACTACACACAAATGGTGAAAACATTCTGGCCACAAGTATACACGAATGACAAAATGTAACCTCGTCTGTCTGCATGGCAAGACAGGACCATCTACCGTAAACTTTCTTAGAAATCAAAAACATGTTCATATGGACTTTTTGTCCTTTTTGTGTGAGAAACCCGACCCCAGAATTTGTAAAATTATTTTCATATAAACATATATATATATATATATATATATATATATATATATATATATATATATATATATATATATATATATATATATATATATATATATATATATATATATATATATATATATATATATATATATATATATATATAGAGAGAGAGAGAGAGAGAGAGATAGATAGATAGAAATCTAGTTTTTAAGGTGTGCTATATTTACGGGATAAAGTGCGCGATATCAGTGATAGAGCGTATGTAAATATAAATATAAACATATTCAACACTCAGAGGCGACAGGCTGTTTCATGCTAGACGCAATCGTTAGGCCGCGAGTGTTGAACTTTTCCTCGGCTATTTACACATATATGGGTCAGTGGTGCATTGTGGGTAATATATTCTGGCGGTTGTTTTGGCAGGAGTGGTTTGTTTATTTATTTGGGTTAATTTACTTTACTGTTTTTTATTTTCATTTTTATTTTATATATTTATTTATTCTTTTCGGTTTTCTATGTTTTATTAACGTGGCTTTTTTTGTAGTGCGGGATTTGCTTAGGTCGCTTATTTTACTTGGTTTTCCTTATTTATGTTTATCTTTATTAGTTTTAAGGGTTATTTTAGCGAGTTATATATATATATATATATATATATATATATATATATATAATACTAAATTTGTTGTTTTCCACTTTATGCTGTTTCTCATTTATATATATATATATATATATATATATATATATACACATACATACCGAATTTTAGAAAATAATGTTTTTTATTAATCCGACAGATTATTTCTTTAATAAGATGTCTCGAACATTCAAGCCGATAAAACAAAAAAATAAATATACTGTTAATAAATAAACGGGCTATCTACTTAAATACGAATGTGAATATCCACTAAAATAACTTTTAAGATAATATATATATATATATATATATATATATATATATATATATATATATATATATATAATATATATATTAAATATCAAATAGTGCAATATATATAATACTATAAATAGGTTATCATACAAGGAATTAATCAGTAAAGTAAATGTAATTAATAGCGAAATCTCTTCGCTAACAAATGTAATAAAACCATAACTCACTAACCATTCGTTGAATGACGCGATCCTTATGTTTAAAACTGTAAACTGGATTAGATGTTCCGGTGCTGCTTGTACTTTCGATAATCTTCACATTTTCATCATCAGGCTTTAATATTGTTTTCATTTCAGGTAACTTCAAGACGAAAATAAATGTATTGTAGGCCAAAAGATGTTTTTTAAGTATCTTTTATTTATTAACGTTTACATCATTTGGAGCGTGCAGTGTCGAAATACTAGAGTTATATTTTAGATATTTCAAGTGAGAACATTTTTCTTTAATATAGTAATGTGGTAAATCCCCAAATTTTTTGTTGTATATGTTTTTCAGTTAACGTGACATGGACAGAATGGTTCAATTATTAGAGTAATGTCTCAGTAGATCTTCATACATATATTAAATGGTGCAGTATATATAATATTATAAAGAGGTAATAATACAAGGAACTAATTAGTAAAATTAATGTAATTAATGACGAAATCTCTTCGCTAACAACGAATGGTTAATAAGTTAATGCTTTATTAAATCTGTTAGCGAAGAGATTTCGCCATTAATTACATTAACTTTACTGATTAATTCTTTGTATAATTATCGCTTATATATATATATATATATATATATATATAAAGAAAGAAAGAAAGAAAGAAAGAAAGAAAGAAAGAAAGAAAGAAAGAAAGAGGAAAACTGCAGTAACTTGATAAAGTTGTTATATCTTATAGCCACGGTAGTTTGGTAGTGTTAAGAATATTGCTAGACGTACGGGGTATTGGGCACTTTCTAAAATATACTGGAATTGGTCTATAGCACCTGCATTCCTTTAATCTGGGAAATCACCTTTTTAGTCAGGTGTACTAAGTTTCGGCCATGGAGGTCTCTACACCAAAGCAATACGCCGTTACCCCTTTTAAGAAATGCACATCTCTTACATAGATCTTCCGAAATCTGCTAACTTTTTTGAGTATCCAAAACTTAAACAAAGTAATTCAAGTAATTGATTTGAAATACAACATTATTTCTTAATGTATTAAACGTTATCGTGGTGGGAATACGTCTTTATTCGGAGGTGGAAGGGGCTTTGTTTTCTCTAATGTTGGGATCCCAACTGACCAGGTTTTTGTTGCTAAGTGTCGGGATTCCAAACATTTAACACAAACAAAAACAACACATCTTTTAAATGAAATAAAAAGGTTTTTCTCTGAAGGAAAAGTAGAAGCAGAACATCAGTTGAAATAACATTTATATATTCTTTTTAGAAATATACAATAACAGTGAAATGTTCAATTTTTCTTGCAGTGAAGTTTCTTAATTAAGTCTTCTTAGCGTGATGCTAGATGAGTCAGCAGACTTACTTTATGAC